CTGCCGTCCAGAGAAGAGCATCTCAAAGAGATCATAAATCTTTACAGGACCAAGCTGCCTCATCTTTCTCTGGTGGAGCAATTGGTGGATTTGAACTGCCCTCCTTTGGGTTAGCAGCCACCATGGCTCCTTCAAGCCTGGTCTACTGGGGTGCAATGTTTTTAAGTCTAACTGCCATCAGTGAAATCACTAGATAGCCCTCAAAAACCGTTTCTTATCCACACTCTCTTACCTACTCTTCCTTTATTTTGCTATAAATGTATTGAATGTTAACCAATTCCTATCAACGACCGAATTCTTCGTCCTCTGTTTTCACCTCACCCGTTTGGCAGACCTGAACCCTGCTCTCTTAGCATACAACCTCGAGATTTGTACCAGATGCACCATAATTGTCATTTTGCTTTCTGAGCCACTTGCATTGTTTCTTGCTTTGTTACCGTTGTTGTTAGCTGTCATCTAGTTCATCTCTGACTCATGACAACCCCCTGCACAATGGGATTGTGACCTGGCACTGGGCCACCCTCACCATGGGCTGCAGACTGCAGTGTTTTGGTACAAGAAGTGCCTCTGAAACTCGTTCAGCCCTGTAACAGCTCCTCATGGCTATGCATGAGTGAGACGCCACTGCTAAAATCAAGCCAGTGGTACCTTCGTGGAAAGTAAGAGTTCTACCCGAAGTTCTTAGTGTACCTTAAAATGCTCGATGTCGTCTAAGTGCTAGTCTGTTCACGTTCAAGTTGCAGCAACTAATTACAGCCAGTGCTCACGCCTCCTTTATTGCAGGGGATGATCTTGGCACTGCACACTGCTGCTGCCTTCCTGTGCCAATATGGAGTTGTTCTGAAGCCACCTATGGATGCACGCAGACCCTTTTCCCACCATATTGTCCATCCTATGCTAACCAAGGGGCAAAGTGATGTTGCTTGCAGTCCCAGGATTAGACAGAGGCAGTCTATCAGTTGTTTTCCTGAGTCCCCTTTGTCCTCTAGGAATTAGTCACACGACCATTAGAATGTCACTAGAATTACCCCAACATTGCGTACTCAAGATTATTGCCCCTCTCTAGAAACAGGGAATACATTGTGGTTTATCTTTTGCTTAGGGCGAGTCACAAGAGGTTGCACATTCTTAATGAAAGATATGCTTGGTGTAGTGACCTGCCGACATTCTAGCGATGCCCCTGTGACCAAGGTTGGGGTAAAGCTGGTGCCCTAACCATCTTTTCAGTTTCATACTTTTTCCATCACACTCCCCTCTATTTATTTCCTTGTACAGTCAGTGTTCTATCAATACTGAAATGAGAATTCTTTCAAAAATAAGGATCTATCCAATTATAAAACATACACGGAAGAATCGTCAATGAATGCATATTGCTAAATGAAAGAATCCTGCTTGAAAAGTTATATACTCTATAATTTTTATTAGATATCACTATGAAAGAGACAGTAAAATAATCCATGGTTTTCAGGAGTTCATGTGGAAGAGGGTAGGGTGAATTAATAGACAGCACACAGGACATTTTATGACAGTGAAATAATTCTGCATGAGACTATAATATTGAATATATGACATTATATGTTTATTAAAAAGCCCGCAGAGTTATATAAAACAAAGAAAGAACCCTAAGCAAACTATGGACTCTAGTTAATAATAATGTATTAGTATCATCAATTTTAAACATGGTGCCACAGTAAAGCAAGATGTTCATAATAGAAAGCTATGTACAGAAAGATAAAAGAATATATGTGAATTGTCTTTACTTTCTGTACAGTTTTGCAGTACTCCTGAAAGTTCTCTAAAAAAAAAAATACATGTATAGGAATGTTAAAAAATAAAAATAAAAAATAAGCCAAAAAAACTGGATTATAGCATCAGTTTTAAAAATTAATCCACATCAATAAGTACATCAATACATTATTCTTAAATCAAAATGGGTAGGCTTCCTTATACATTTGTAACATTTTCATATTATCATAAATTTAGAAGTAAAATTAAATAATTTTTAAAAATATAAAATATCTACTTTTTACTATTTCCCAATATATTCAATGTAGCTTGGATTCTCAATGGCATTTCCTTACAAAACAACAGCAAAAATAAAAACAGCTGTCAGATATTTAGTCAACATTATCAGTGTAGGCATATTGTGTCAGAAAAAATAGATCAAATAGTTCATGTTTCTATGGTATATCTCAAAACCAAGGGAAAAATAAGCATGAACTTATGGAATCTTAATAGTCACCTCATTGCTGAAGTAAAAAGGAAACCGAGAGGAAACATAATAATATTAAAAGTTATTTTAAAGGGAGTTCACATTGGTTTGAAGGGTACTTTACTTCCTAGACAATATACACCTTTGTAAAGTGTAAGAAACCCATATTTGTAACATACACACATCTTTGTAGTTTTCTGAACATAAATCTTTAGAGCAGTATTATTTCTTCATAGATAAAATTAAAATATTGAAAGTCTTTCAAATAAAGAAAAGAAACCTTCTTGCAAACCAAAGGAAACTTGGAACTTTTTGTTAAGTGCTTATTTAACTATAAAAGGGTCAGTGTGTGTTATAATGAGTGGAAACCTGACATTACAGTAGTGCACTTGTGGGCATCTTGTGACAGCCTATTTCAATATTAGGAAGATCGTACATTAAAAATGATTTCTATACTCATCAATGTATACAAGTAAAATTTAGTTCCTGTTAAATTAACACTCCATTAAAAAGGCAAAATAAAAGCTTCAACAAATGCCCATTATCCTGTACTCCAAGATGGAAAAAAATATATATAAATTTGAAGACCAGATTGCCAGTTATTTTATTCCATAATAGTAAGGTTTCTCGGTTCTTTTTCTTCTCCTTTTTTCCCCCTTTGCTGAGTTCTCTGTCACTGGAAACATCTTAAACCAATTTCAAGTGCTACACCTGAATAAACATGTTGTAAAAGTGTTTATGTATTGAAGTGGGTCAGTTCAAGGTATGGTATTTGGCTGGAACTTCTAATTTCTCTTTTTACAGCAAAAGGGCTGCCAGCAGGAGGAAGTCTGAGCTGAATTAATACATTTGTTACAGTGGAAGTAGAATGGAAACTGCGCAGACCACAAATCAAACTGCCTCTTTCATTTATGCCAGCGATCGAGTTGTTCTAAGAAATATAGACCCTGGCATAAAGCCACTATACGTTTGCATTTAAAAGAGAAACCAATATGCTTATTTGTTTAAGGTTTACTACTTTGATTATTTATAAGGTTGTTTTTTTTAATTTTCTTCTCCCTCTATTCAGGCTTGTGGCATTGGTAAAATAAACGACCCTTTGTGTTCTTGTAGGAATCAAATTCATTGTAGAACAATTGTTGAGGTTGCTGATGGTGCCTGGACTAATCCATAGTGTGTATATCTGTGTACACATAACCATTCTTCCACATTAAAGGACCTCTGTGTCACTCCCAACAGCTGTACAGCTTCACACGACACAGTCTCATTTTCTGATGGCAGAACGTCTCCGTATAATACAAGTATACACACAAGTGCTTATGCTGCCAAAATAAATTCTGTTAAAGCAAGGATTTATTTGCTAAAATGCCATGGATGCTGTTTGAGGGGCTTGTTTTCTGTTCCTTTCTTCTAAGGTAGGTCAGCTCTTACAATGGATCGAGGTTGCTCCAGCCTTTACTGAAAAAATATTCTAAGAAAACACGCACATTTCTCATGGGACAAGTTACGGTCAATCATGCACATATTTCAAACCACAGTATGTGTTCCTCCTAGAAGTGGTAACTTCTGTGTCTGAAGTAGAAAGTTTGCATGGATTTTGAGTGATATTTAAGACATAAAGCTAAATACCTCATTTTCTTTGGGTGATTTTCATAGAACCAGATAACACAGTCAATAGATTTCTTTAGCTGAGATAACTTCATGTCGTATTTATTTCCATTAAGAATTATTTTAAATTAGAAGTGATCCTGTAAAAAGAAGGAAGATAGCAATACCTAAATCCTCCAGTATTTGTGCAATCTGGTTAAATGATACTCATAAACCACTAGGAGAAAGGCTTGGCACATTCAAAGTAAGCACCTCCAACCGATTAGTTGCTACTGAGATAGCTATTATTCCTGTCACGCCTATGGAATAAGTACTTTATCAACACCATTTCTAGCTTCTAGGCTACGCTGGCTTCTAACACATTCCTACAGAGGCTCTGACTGAACTTTCTCTTCTCTGATATACAACCACATCCACAGGCAAAAAACAGGCATGCAGGCCAGGATAGATGCAAAAGTGAGCCTTTAACCCACCAGAGAGTTCTCTCTTGTCTGGGGCTCTCCAGATTTGGTGGCATGTTCTGAGGTTCTCTCAGTAAGGCCCTGTATCAGAACTGAGGGAGAAAGGCTTTCTAATATTTCCATATTTACTTCAGATACTCCACATCAAGCGTGAGCTGGGGTTTAAAGAAAAGCTCCCTTCCTGCACTGGGCTTCCAGAAGGACTGTTAAAAGCTTTGTAAATTTGCTGAGCATTTGCCAGAAGAGAAGTAGGGAACGCTAAAAGCACCAATTAACACTCGTATTACTTTAAAAAGGTGGAGAAAAGGAAAACACTCCATGAGGCACTCAGTTTTTGTCACTTAGAGCAAAATTATAGGACAGTTGATGCACAGAACCCCAGAGTTCATTTCTTTAAGGAATGTGAAGATCATTATTGGATGTGCAGATTTCTAGATCAATGATAGTTAAATCTGTCCATTTGTAGACTGCAGGCTTCTAGGCTTGGGAAGATAGCAGTTAAGTGAAGGCAGTCTGTGAAGGTTCAGTTGAAGAAGGATGAAGCAAATGAACAGCCAAGCAGGAGTTATCTGTCACCGTAAACCTCCGGTATTTATAGGAATCTTTGACGTGTAAAGAAAGGGATCTAACACGATTTCTAAGTACTCTTAGAATTCATTCATGTCGGGTCAAGTTTATCACTTTTTTGGTAAACTAAACACTTGTGCCTTGTGTTCCAGGACGCAGTATCAATGTAAAATCTGCTGGTCTCGTGGGAAGACACGGGCCTCAGTCAAAACAACCTTTCATGGTGGCCTTCTTCAAAGCAAGCGAGGTCCTTCTTCGCTCTGTGCGAGCAGTTAACAAACGGAAAAATCAAAATCGAAATAAATCCAGCTCTCATCAGGACTCCTCCAGAATGTCCAGTGTTGGAGGTAAGCTACAACCACAGCAGCACTGTGTGCGAAGACTTCTGTGGTCATATGTTGCAAATTAAGTCGCCACAATAAATTCACCCTCTGTGTAGACCTTCGTTTGGTCTATTAAATCATCCAGTGATGTTTCTAACATCTCCAGAATATTTCATCAATGAATCACTCAGTAATTCATTTTAAAATAAGTATGCCTTACTTTCATGTGTTGAAAGATTCAGTTCAAATTAAAATCAAGCTGGCAGTAATAAAATTAAGAAATGGCTAGGTCAACAAAGGCTAGCCAAAATTGAACTACACAATTTGCTGAGCAAGCTTCCCCAGGGCCTGAAGTATGGATGGGTAACCAGGTAAATTCAGCATAGCATTTTTCCCCCCAGTAAAGTCCTAATGAAAATTTTGTAGGCTGCATTCTTTTCTCAAATAGGAGCAAAATAGATTGCTTGAGAATTGAGATAATATTTATATTTCCAAAAAATATATATATTTATATTTCCATTAACTATTTGGGTGACTGACCATTATCTACTTAAAGTTTTAGGTGTATGACAGACATATATATAGATATTTCAATTTGATCTCCCTTTTTATACACTTGAGTTTGATCTGTTTTTAGTATTTTCTGTTTTTTGAGTTTTTTTCAGGGTGTGTTTTTTCTGTGTTGTATGTTTATTATCATTGGTAGCGATCTTGACTCTCTGTTATGTATGTTTCTATCTTTTTTGGTATATGAAACCCAGGCTGGGCAAATCTACAGAGAGTAAAAGATTTAAGAAAAGATAGTCAAAGTGATTCTGGTAGAGACTGTACAATATTGCTTGATATTACTGAACTGTAGAATGGTTTTTGTCTGGATTATGTCTTAACAAAATTATTAGAAAAAACAAAATATTACAAATGCACAATTGATCTCACTTTACTTGCAATTTTAATCTTAATTACAGAAAAAGGGGACAAAAATGCAATTGACTTAAAAGCATCTGACTGCAAACATAATGAAACAACTTAATTGTATTATTTATACTGATAAATATCTTGTATAAGGTGGCCCATAAATAAGTTTTAAAAGATGTTCTTAAATTTTATGACTATTGTATTCCATTAAATGGTTTTATTGATTAAAGATGAATATATTTGATAGGGAACACATAACCTATGTCACCCAAGCCATTCATCAGCCATTTTAAATGAAATATCTTATGAATGACAATTTTTTTTATTAATGATCACTATTGCATAATACTCTGAAAGGCACAATGGATGGAGTAACTTAGGAAACCTGATTCAGCATGTGATATTTCAGAAATTAGAATCCTCCATTTTCCCAAAAGACTCAAATGGTATTTGACATTCTTTTTGAAACCTTCACTTCACTCAGATGTCTTGAAGTATAAAAGTGACAATCTATACAGCAGATATTTATGACTCAAGCATGTAAAAGTATTTAGATAAGAAATAAATGATTATAAAGGAAGTAAAACATATAGTTTTTTTGGGGGGGAATTGCACCTGGGACTCTCAATAAAATTATAAAGTGGAATTTATTGGAGTGTTTCTCAAATGTAGGCACCAGGAGAATCACGTTAGCCATTATTGTGGTGTTATTAGCAACAGAAGCGGGCAGGGCTGGGGTGGGGGGTGGGGGTGGGGAATGGAATTACATTACACTGAATTACATGCCACATAGATAGTGATGCTTTAATGTAATTTCCTAACCAATAAGTTGAACCATCTTTTTTACTTAAAGTAACATATGATATTAGTACCGCCTTACAAAGCTATTTTGTAATGATCTTCACGAGATGTTTAGTTTGGCAAAATGCTGTAATTCCTTCATATGAAAGATGGGGAAAATAATTTTCTAAGACCTTTTCTTCCTTGTAAATACTAGCCTGTCAAAGTTGTATATTTTTCTTTTCATGTAGAATGGTTCTCAAATTAGTTGAAATGTTTTTAATTTAATGCAGCAGACTGCATTAATACAAGGAAGCTTTGCTAGACATTAAATAGAATGGTAAATAATGTTTTTGGATATTACAAAGGGAAAGGTATAAGTTGTATGCTTATTATTAGAGTTCATAATGACTGGCAGAGATTCAAGCAACTGAAATCATCAAAGTCCTGTTCCCTATTGGTGAACTCTATTTATCTTCCCTTACCCACCACATGTAACAAGTGCGCTTCTGTAAGGAGGGAGAAATAGAATACATGGCATGGAATTCATATGGCTTTTCACCAGTTTCCTAACACAAAGTGCATACTTATTCTAATATAGACCGTTCTTTTCTTTTTAAAAATTCTCATTGGCAACCATTTCTATGAAATATGTGGTCGTTGTTTTTGGAGTGTGTTCATATTTTAATAATAAGAAGAAAACAAAGTAGCTGTTTTGTGTCTATGAGACGTAACCTTTCAATGGGTAGCAATAGAGAGGACAGGAAAAAGCTTCATAGGATTTGTCCCCAAAGATGGGCTTACCTGGGGGAGAATGCTAATAGTAACAGAAATTTTGATACTCAGAAGACTTAAAATGCCAATGAAAACTCCAAATGTAAATAGTAAATGCAATAATAGTACTAGGGTTATTAAATGAAATACTTTAAGACTATCCCAGGGCTAAGAAAGGGGGCAGGAATAAAAAGAGTTGCAACAATTATGCTTTTTATTTTTCCAAGCCTGTCCTCAAGCATTGAAAGACTCATTAGTGCTAGATAATTAAAGCAGTTAGTTCCTTACCAATTAAAAAAAAAATCCTTTCTTCTGACTTCTCCCCCTTTACAGCCATAGTCTTTTGGAGAGCCTAGCACAGTATCTAGTACAAAAGAGCAGTCCCTTAGTGCACCTACCCCGAACACTCCCCTCCCCATGCCCCCAAAGCCGTCCACTACTTGTTGAATGAAGTCTTGTTGAACGTATTACCTGTGTGCAAAAGATAAGCCTCCTTTGGGGAGCCCCTGCTCCCAGGGGTCTGTAGAAACTCACCTTTGTGAATTTAACCATAATTTGGATAGGCACTATCACTTGCTTAAGGCATACAATGTAAATTCATTTTATTTAGAACAGAATTTAGTCGAAGCCTAAAAGAACACTTAATTGGAATCAATTCTTTGAACTTTTTATATAATTAATAACCATTCATCATTTAAAAAACAATCAAATCACAAATAGAGGGCAACAACTATGGACAAATTGACTACAGTGAAGACTTAAATGGTTTCCTGTGTGATGCAAATGGTTTGCTCTCAGCTACTCACATGTTGGCAGAAAGAACTGATCCCTACAGGTCATGGTCTTGAACCTGGGAGAGCCCTTTGATTCTGCAGATGTGGGGGTCATTGTGAGCTGCAATGAACTTAACAGCAAGTGGGTCAACCATATGACATCTATTATTATACCTAAGAAATAATACAAGGTCCTTGGGTGGCAAAGATGGTTTGCTCTCAGCTGCTAACCAAGTTTGTGGCTCACCCCACTCAGCAGTCTTAGAAAGTAAGGCCTCCTGAGTCTCTTCTGGAGAGATTATATTCAAACAAACAAAAACTCTATGGAGTTCAGTTTATGACACCAGTTGAAAATAAAGAAATTTACCCCATTTTCTGGCTCACTCCTCTAAGCAGCTGATGATTAGGCTAACCAAAATCATCCTCACTGCCAGAGTTGATTCTAACTCACAAATACCTAGAGGGCAGAGTAGAACTGCCCCTGTGGGTTTCTGAGGCTGGAACATCTTTGCAAGTGCTCGCAGCCGGATCTCTCTTCTGAAGAGTGGCTGCTGGGCTTAAAATGCCAACCTTTCTGTTAGCAGCCTATCTCTCAGCTCGGGACCCCACAAGTGGGAGAATGACCTGCCATTCTTCTCTACAATTACAGGCTAGCCATGAAGGAGCTCGCCTCCATCGTAGGAGAGCCTGCACACGTCAACATTTGACTCAGTGGCAGCGCACAGCAGCAGTAGCAACGTTGGGGCAGTTTTTTGTGTCAGTGTGATCCCAGGGGAGGAGTCTTTGGTCTATCACAGGGGTGCTTTGGAAAGCTTTGTAAGCCTAGTCAAGCCAGCACATCGGTTAGTTCATATGTGCTAGCATTTGTTTTGTTTCACCCATTTGTACATAAATTTCCCTTCACAAATAATTCATCCTAACTCTTCATTGAATATGCATAAATTCAAGTGAGTGATTCACTGGGTCTGGCAGCTGGCGATTCAACTCCAGTGACAATAGCATTTGAAATCTCCTTCTTTAAAAGGGAAAGGTTATTCGCCTTGACGCTATCATGAATTTCACGACCCTAAGGCCATATCACAGTCTATATTATTATAGAGTCTCTTCGAGCATCCCTCCTTCCCTTGGCCTCTTTGTACCATCATTTTTATCAGACACTTTGTTCATAAATTGCTTAAAATCAGGCTCCTCCTCGTGATGCTGTAAGGGGCCGATTTTCCTCTGTTTTCCTTTTGGAATCAGTGGTAATACTAGTGTGTGCGCGTGACAACAGCAGTAGGTCATCTTATCCTGCTTCTGTAAGGTGCTGCTGTCTCAGATAAGATATTACATCTTATTTTGAAATCGTTTTGTGGATCATATTTCATCCCTTTACAAGAACTAATAGTGTCTTTTGAGAGAGAAAGAGAGGCCTCGATCTGGTTATGGGGGTTCTTGGACCTGAGTGTCTTGTCTCTCCACCACAGTAGGTGAACCTCTGCTTATTTGCTTGTCTGTTTGCTCACGAGCTGTTGTAGATCCTATGGAGACTGAAAGAATTGAATTTTTCTTTCCCCACTTGCACTTCCATGATTTTATTTTGTCATTTGCAATAAAAATTTACATATTTTTTAGTCAAACTTATACTGTCCCCAGAAATTGATCATAAAGAACAGTGCATAAAATATTTACCAATATTTTCAATCTGTTGGCTTTGATTTCCCAACATTATTATCATAAGAAGACAAAGGAGAGGAATGTTGCATTTCTGACATTGATGACAGAGCGGGCCAGCATGCATTT